GAAGGCACAAGACTGCTGGAATTCTTTAGATCTACAAGCTTTTGAGGAGATTATGGCACTTCTCATCTATGGGTTGGTCTTGTTCCCAAACCCTGATCAGCTTATATATGTGAATGCTGTCAAGATTTTCATATCTCAGAATCCTGTGCCTACATTACTTGGGGATATCCTACACTCATTTTACACACGAACAATGAGGAAAAGAGGTGTTCTCATGTGATATACTCCTCTTCTAGCAAGGTGGTTTATTTCTCACCTTCCTCAATCAGTTTTGAAGAATGAGCAGGGTTTAAGGTGCTCATAACGGTTGATGACCCTCACATATTTTGATGTTCATTGGTGTTCTCGGTCCAGAGAAAATGTCATCATCATTGATGGTTGTGGAGAATTCCCTAATGTCCCATTACTTGGCATTATGGGAGGCATTACCTACAACCACTGTTTAGATCTGATACAATTTAGGTATGCCCGAAGGGATGGCCCTCACGACATGCTGGTTCCTGACTTGGTTTTTGACTTCGACAATGATGCTCAAGGACTTCGACAAAGGTTTATCCGAGCCTGGAGGATGCCCAACAAAGTCGATAGTAAGACACTGGGGCATAAGAATTCCATCCCCCTTGAGCCTTATCTCAGGTGGGTACAAACCCGTGCCCAGAGTCTTATGATGCCTTATCCTCACATTCTCCCCGTGATCAAAGAGCCTGTTATGGAAGGAGAGGTTCCATACACCCTCCTACATCCTGACATGAAAACATCATTGGAAGAATTGCAAAAGATTTGGATACAACTCAAGGAAGAACGAATTACTTTTGAAGCTAGCTTTTATGCCAGCGAGAAGAAGGTTCTGGAACTTACCCGCCGACTTCACGAAGAGGAGACTCTCAACACTTACATCGCGCCAAAGAGGATGCGCAACGTCTTTTTACATTAAGAAGCTTTGTAATATTCCGCCCATAGGGCATTTATGTACTAACAAATTTCTTCTTATTAATATGACCTGTGTTCTTTTTGTTTGCAAAAAATTTGAATTTCTGAATCCTTGAATGCATTACATGAATAACATACCATTCATCATATGCTTAAACAGGTCTTCACACCAGGTTTCCTTATCTTTCTGTTGTTTATTTCAGCAAGATGGATATAGAGCAGACGGTTAAAGATCTACAAGCACAGAATTCGCAATTCCAAAAACTTCTCATGACCTTGGAAAAAGGTCAGGAGGACCTTAAAGCACTGTTAGAGAAAGAGAAGGAAAAACACAAAGAGAAAAAGAAGAAAAGAACTGGTGTGGCCACTATGGGAAGAAGATTTGAGCATCAGGCTAGGAGAGTTCTGGAGTTCCCCTCGACGTCTGACGAAGGGGTTAGTAAAGGTAAGGGAGTTGCAATGCCCTCTGAATCTGAGGCTGAAGAGGAAGAAGAAGAAGAAGAGGAAGATTACTCTGAGCAGCAATATCCTCATGCGGATGATAAGTATAAGAATCTTGAAGAACGGTTGGCGGCCATGGAAGTGCAAAGGGTTCCTGGATTGGATTTTGAAGAACTGGGGTTGGTTGCTGGGATCGTCATTCCTCCCAAGTTCAAAGTACCTACATATGCTAAATACGACGGTTTGTCCTGTCCGAAGATACATCTGCGGTCCTACGTCAGAAAGATCCAACCTCACTCTTCTGATAAGGATCTGTGGGTCCACTTTTTTCAAGATAGTTTGTCAGGTACGCAATTGGACTGGTTCTATCAACTTGAGAGATCTGATGTTCATAACTGGGAAGATTTAGCTGCTGCTTTCTACCGACAATACCAATACAACGCAGATTTAGAGCCTACTCGTACTCATTTACAGAGTATGGGTATGGCTTCTAATGAAGGATTTAAGGAGTATGCCTAGAAGTGGCGAGATTTGGCTCGAAGGGTGCAACCACCATTGTCGGATATAGAGCTGGTTGATATGTTTTTAAGGACTCTGTCAGGTCCATTCTTCAATCACTTGATCGGGAGCTCATCTGCAGGGTTCACTGAATTAATTCTGACCGGCGAAAGGGTCGAAGCCGGCATTAAGAGTGGTAAAATTCTGAAGGATGCCTCCGCTTCCACTGCTATCAAGAAAACCTTCCCAGCCAAGAAGGAAATTTCTGCTATTCATACCCAGAGAAACCAGGGGAGAATGGAGCGCCGACCCGTGGTGGGGGCTGTGATGATCCAGAATTCCTCAACCGATCAACCTCAAAGCAATCAACCAAGATCTAACCAGCAAAAGGTAGAAAGGCCACAACGACAATTCACCCGAATCAATATGACACCAGCTCAGTGATCGGGACTTTATGAGTCTATTGGGATACTAACTGCAAGTATACAGTTTAGTCGTTCTAGTTTTAAATGATTATCGAACCCACAGAGACTGAGGATCAATCGCATACGATCTAATGTTACAGTTTGTTTAACTAAGCGGTGAATATTTGATTTTAGGGGGGAAATAGTTTAATTAAAAATAATAGTAATAGTTATTCCGGTATGTGATAGTCGGACTTCGGGAATTCGATGAATCGCTTGGCCTATCAAGTATTTCGGTAAAAACTAATTGTTTAAAAACATGAGACATACACTATCGTGTTCATGAAATAAGTCATGCTACTAAACCTAGTGGATGCACTTTAAATTTAATAACACTTTTTGAAAACAATTTGAGTTTAATTAATTTATTAAAACACTCTCGTGTATTTAAAAATTAATGTTTCATTACCACTATCTGGGTTGAACCCCAGCTCTCGCATGCAGGTTCTTGCCTTAATTAATTTCCCACTCTTTAACTTTAGGTCTTTCATTGACACAAGTCTTCTAATATCTGATGAGTAGCCTTCTGGAACTTTAACTTCACTGAGGAACTTACACAATATTTTCTTCTCCTTTCTAGATAGAGTGTAAACAGCAGGTGGTAGATATGTGCGTCTTCCTTTCGTCACGGGTGCCAATTCAGTTCTAATTCCCATGTTTAACATGTCCTTCCTTATGTTAATGCCATCCTTAGACTTTCCTTGTATATTGAGTAACGTACCAATAACACTATCAAATACATTTTTTTCAATATGCATAACATCGAGGAAATGTCTTACGTACAACGACTTCCAATATGGAAGTTCAAAAAAAATCGACCTCTTCTTCCACCCACTCGTGACAAGTCTATATGCAAAAGGCTTGCCAAACTCAGTACTCACATCTTTCACCTTTTCAAAAATCTGATCACCTGTTAACATATGTGGAGCTCTACCGTGTTCTGCCTCTCCATTGAATGCCTTTCTCCACCCACGATAGTGATGATTAGAATTTAAGAATCTACGATGACCGAGAAAAACATTCTTCTGACAAAAGTTCAATCGCATCGTATCGGTTTCAGCTTCACAAACAGGACACGCTTTTTGACCCTTAATGTTGTACCCTGATAGATTTCCGTACGCCGGAAAATCATTAATTGTTCCAAACAACATCGCCCTCAAGTTGAAACTTTCTTTCCTATACCCATCGTAAACCTCCACATCGGTCTCCCACAAAAACTTCAAATCTTCGACTAAGGGTGCCAAGTACACATCTATGTCATTCCCTGGTTGTTTGGGCCCAGAAATTAACATAGATAGCATCATGTACTTACGCTTCATACATAGCCACGGAGGTAGGTTATATATCATAAGAATCACAGGCCAGGTGCTATGCGAGATACTTTGAATACCATGCGGGTTCATTCCATCAGTAGACAATGACAAGCGAAGATTTCTTGCTTCTTTTCCAAATTCAGGATAATCAATATCAACTTTCGTCCACTGTGGTGAGTCTGCCGGATGTCGCAACTTCCCATCAATAATTCTTTCATCTGCATGCCAAGTCAAGTGTCTTGAATCGGTCTCACTACGATACATGCGCCTAAATCTCGGAATTATAGGAAAATACCATAACACCTTTTCCGGAGACAACTTTTCCTTATATCGAGGGGCACCGCATTTAGGACACTCATTTAACACTGCGTACTCGTTTCGAAATAGAACGCAATCTTTTGGACATGCATGTATCTTTTCATAGCTCATGCCAATAGAGGACAACATCTTTTTGGCCTCATACGTTCGATTGGGAAGAACATTATCCTCTGGTAGCATTTCTTTCACGAGGGCTAATAACTGTGTGAAACTTTTATCCGACCATCCGTTGTCCGCCTTTAAGTTGTACAACTTTAACACCGCAGACAATCTTGTGAATTTTGTACAACCATCATACAACGGTTTCTCTGCATCGCTTACCAACCTCTCGAACATTTTTGGACAATCCTCAAGATCTTCTTCAAGCGCTTCTGCAATCTCTTCGACTCGATCATAATCGTATGCGTCTGCGAAATCCTCATTTGAAGCATACGTCGTATTATAACTCGATTCAACATTCCCGCTACTTTTCTCACCATGCAAATTCCAACATGCATAACTTCTATCAATTCCATGCATCAGTAAATGCGATTCCAACAGAACCGCGTCAACCCGTCTCCCATAACAGCATCTCAAGCAAGGACATATCATTCCATTGGGTTCTCTGGCGTGCGCAACGGCAAACTTAACGAATTCTGATACCCCATCCTCATACTCTTTCGACAATCGATTGGCAGTCATCCATTTTTTATCCATGGTTTGACTATAGCAACTAATTAGTCACGCAACTATAGCAAAATAATAATTAATTACCTGTAAAGAAATTCAACATATCAGGTAATCAAATTCATAGTTATTCTTGCCTCACCTTAAGCATGTGCTAAACAACTCATAACTAATTACTAACTAGTGAAGTCGGATACTAGTGATTCAGTCTTGGATACAGGTAATAACAATTATATTCAAACAATAGTGAAGTCGGATTTCAAACCTTACGGTAAAGATTTCATCGGAGGAGAAGAAACCGGAAGATTTAGCAACGGAAAAATCCCGTCAGATATTTTTGGTATAGTCCTATAGTCCTAAATTCTAACATCTACACGCTAACTAATGTGTTGCATGGTTCATTGTGTTTAAGATTTTCATTGATGTTTGATGAATCCCTGAAACGTGCTCGTTTCAATGCTATCAATACTGCCATACTGCCATATACAGCCCTATACTGCCATAACAGTCTAAATATAAACAAAAACACAACCGCAGCTCATGAATTCCACTCAACTATAATCATTAGAAATTCACACTGAGCCGGAAAATAAAAGTAAAAACAATCAGTTATTCAAGTCAGTTCAAGAATAGGATAGAAACCTTTGAAAATGTTGAGAGCGTCCCGCGTACACTACGATCAAGGACAGTTCGAATTTCTTCAATCGGAGAAAGTTTCACAGCTTTTTCCTACCACAATAACACTTAAAATCAATCTCCCACAAAGGAGTCACACACAAATTTAAATTACAATAACTGATGTAATTTTTATCTAAAAATCGATATTAAATCGTTGAACTATCACTCATTTGTGGTTGTCTCTAATATTAAAAATGCTATTGGTACACTTTACTAAGTTGCACATAACACAATCAATTAGTATCAGTAGAAAAAAAAAAGTATTGCAGACGCAAGGGTATTAAATTTCTATATACATTATTCTTTTTGAGATTAAATGATATTTTTCAATTCAAAAGTACTCAGACTCTTGCTTTTTTGCGCCAACTAAGAATATCCTTCACATGTGATCAAGTGCCATGATGAAAAGAAGCACTCATTTCTTGAAAAAGAGAGGCAAAAACAAGTAATAGGGGACACAGTTGCTAAAGGCCAAAGCATAGGATCAAACAACTCCTCTTATTATAACCCCTCCATCTCATAGCAAATGCTTTGTAAAATTCTGCACCTTCTTACCAAATGAATTTATAGAACTACTAATATTTAAAAATAAAATACTAGTATTCGGATTACACCATCTATATGTGGTTCCCTTAATTAGTTAATTAGTCACATAACAATATTCTCAATTAATTAGGATATTAATCGAGCTATTCCCTTTTTATAATAAAGCTACTCATTAAATTCTAAGGTCTATATAATTTCCCTTAAGCCAGAAATCTAATCACCCTCGTGTTCCTATAGGATTTCCCTCAAGTCGAAAGCCTAGGCACTCTCATATACAAAATGAATCCATACGATTTCCCTTAAGCCAAAAATCTAGAGACCCTTATCAAAAAATGAATCTGTATAGCTTCCCTCAAGCCAAAAACATAGATTCCTCAATTGCAATGTACTTGTACGATTCCCCTCAAGCCGAAAGTCTAGGTATTCATTGCATATAATGTATCGACACAATTTCCCTCAATCTAGAAATATGGATACTCTCAACATAACACATCCATATTATTTCCCCCAATCCAAAAATATAGAGATGTTATCAACATACAATGTATCAATATAATCTCCCTTAAGCCGAGAATATAGATATCTTTAGATACTATGTACATGTCTGATTTTACTTAAGTTGGAAATCTAGGGGGATGCATAAAGTAGAAACATTCACACTTGCACATTCTTGCTTTACTATAGGATATACCTTCTCAATAGCTCTCTAACATATCCAACAACATCTCGCCTCGAGTTATAGATCTCAAACTACGTTAAGATCACTACCCCTACAATTCTAAACAAGTCGGCTCGCTTGGTGACACTCAAGCGAGACCTTATAGAACTAAAACTTTTCCCAAAATAGGTCCTTCATTTAGCGAAAAACAACTATCTCTAAGTGAGATCTTATTGGGCATAATATTTTCTCACTAAGCGAGTATACTAGAACTTTCAGGATTCATAACACAGAAGTCACAATCATGAATACATTAAACATGTCAAGGAAGGAAATAATCATATATACACCAAGGTCATACCATCATGGCATTATTCTAATCTCAATGAATGAAATTATTACAATGGATAGGATCTCATTTACATATCAACAGAGAAATTCAAACTTAGCAACCAAACATAAACTTATCACATATCACAAACTGTCATATAAGCATGATATTTAATCATCATAACATAGAGAATTGGACTAGCTTTCTAACATATTCGAGTGCATCTCATTTGGAGTTACGGAACTAAAAATACATTGATTTCAGTGGCAATACAATTTTGTTCGTATCAACAGCTCTCGCTAAGCAAGCAAAATTTCACTAGGCGAGAATGACTATAACTTTTCATGAAAGTTAGTGTTCTAACATCACATTTATCACCCCAATCCACCACCCATCCATCCCTAACCTATACTAACATGCTTGGGGAACAAAAAAACATAAAATCGGTACATGCATACTCAATAATCATACCATTGTCATGAATTTCAGGCATTAGCACAAGACCACACATGAACATACAACCCTAAGCTTCTAACCCCAAGTTCTAACTAAGAACTTACCTTGAAGAGAATATTTTGAGTTGGGTGTTTGAGAGATGAAGAAAATGATGATGACTTATACACTTGATCATTGCCCTTCTTCCAAATCACCAAAGCTTCGTGCCGGCGAGGATGAGGAATCAGAACAAAAACGAGAATAGCTTCGTGCCGGCGAGGGTGAGTTGATGAACGGTGCTGATAAGGTTCGTGCCGGCGAGGGTGAGATGATGAACGGTGCTGAAAAGCTTCGTGCCGGCGAGGGTGAGATGGAGAAGACGATGAACAGGGCTTCGTTCTGATATTTCGTTTTGGGTTTCGTGGGTATTCTGAACTGTGCTGTTCAATATTTCATTTTATTTAATTTTGATATTTGAGCTACCACGGCGCTTTTAGCCTAAAAAGCGCTTTAGTAGCATCAGACCTTATGCCAGCGCTTTTGAAAGTGCTTTCAAAGGCCAATCTTCCACAGCGCTTTTTAAAAAGCGCCTTCATAACCCTATTATTTCGTTTTTATTAATATTTTTATTTGACCTACCACAGCGCTTTTAATGTAAAAAGCGCTTTCGTATCCCCCACCTATGCCAGCGCTTTTAAAAAAGCGCCTTCGTAGGTTTCCCTTTTTTTTAATTTTGTTTTTTGTGAAGGCTATGGCAGCGCTTTTTCAATAAGCGCTTTAGTAGAGGCGCTGCAAAAAGCAGTTTTTGGCGTAGTGAATGGTTATTGAAACGGATCGCGTAAGTAGGAAGTCTACGGTGTCATAACTGTATCGATCTTGTTATGTCGTTTTCGGCTTCCCTAACTGGGATTTCGTTAAAATAGGTATGTCGGGCTAATGCGAAGATAAAAAATTTTGGTATGGCTAAATAAAGTAAAGAATTTAAATCGAGACATATCATAAAAATTACTAGTTTATAAAGGATGGAAAGGTACCTCTCCCACACTGAATCCGACATTGTCCTTAATGTTGCGGTATATAGGCGGGGAAGTACAATTACAAAAACAAACAGAAAGGAAATGAAACAGAAAAAAATAATAAACTACATAAAAAACAAAGAAAAACTACTGGTGACCACGTCCTCTACTCCTGGTGCGAGAGCGTCTGGTAGGAGTGGCTTCTGTGTCATTATCTTGGAAACCAAGGGTGCTGACGTCCAACCTTAAGGCGCTGAACTCTGACAGGGCCTCATCTAACCTCTCATTCATGTTCCGCTGCCCAGTCAAGATCTGAGTGTTCTGAGCGCATAGATACTCATGTTGCTCATGTTGTCTTCTTTCAAGCGCTGCGCTCATTTGATTTTGCGTATGAATGGCACGGAGGACCCCTTCTAGAGTAATAGGAGGTGGTGCAGATGAAGGTCCTGGAATGTCGTGGACGGGAGGAGCACTATCCAACTCTTCTTGCATTTCGTCTGCGGGGGCTGCAGGTTGGTCTTCATGAGTAGTGCACGCCCCGCGGAGGCTACAGGATCGAACAACCAGGTTGCTCGGTTTCGCGGATCGATTCGGTCCCTGCAAGGCAAAATGATGTTCTGATAAACAGTGTTCCTGATCACAGGGTGGAATCTACCATCCTCCCGCTCATAAATGAGATGTGCGGCCTTGCAGTGATCCAAAGTTAGCAAAGCCGGTGCCATAGAAGGCATAGTCACGAGAGCAGCACCATAGTTCAGACCTATGGCAAGTGAAGTGACCAGCCCTCCGAAATAAAAGGGTTTTCCGCCTCTAGCACAGATAGAGTGGATATGAGCCAGTAAGAACGGGGCGGCGTTGATCTTTTGCCCTGTGAATGCGCAATGCATAAAGAAGAGATCCTTGGAGTTGAGCTTGTGGTTGCTGTCACGGGAGAAGATTGTGTTGCTGAGGATGCGGTGGAAATAGCGGATGTCCGGATTATGAATGTGGGTGGCATTTAGGTGGTCGTAAGATTCGGCACGGATATTCGTCAAACTGTGCCATAAGTTGAAGGCTTCCTCACCAAAATTATCCGGCACCCGGAGATGGACACCTTCATCAGAACAGAAGCCTAAAAGCCGTGCGATGTCGGATTGGGGCAACTCGTGCTCAATGCCAAACATTCGAAATTTGGCCAGGCCTGACAGTTGGTTCGTGGCACCTGGCGGAGTGATGTAAACAAAGGAACTCAAAAACTCAAGAGTAAGAGTTTCATAAATCGGTCTTGGTTCGCGGCACAGGTTCCATAAATCCACACTCTGCAGCAATTGGCGGACACTGTCAAGTAGTCCCAAACTCTTCAAACACTCAAGATCAACATACCGTGTAGGTTGGAGACCTCGGCGTTGAAACTTCTGAAATTTGACCCGTTGGTTTTCTCCTTGTTCGCCGGATCTGGAAGTGAGAGCGGGAGCTTGTTGATTGTTGGCCATGGTGTTTGTAGAACGGATTGAAAAAGGCTTGGAATGAAAATGGGGTAGTGGGTGGATAGTATTTTTAGTGTTGGAAGTTTGGAAGTTTGAAGAAAAATGGAGTGGAGTGGGTGTGTAACGTGATTTTGCAGCAATGGAGGTTTGGTGGATTTTGAAGGCAATGGTTGGAACGGTTCTGTAATAGCCGTTCTGATATATTGTGCGCGTGACGGTCATCACGAGGGTGTGACGGGCGTCATACGGAAAAAATGCGCGTTACGCTCGTCACGAGGGTGTGACGGTCGTAACACGTTCAATGTCATCAATGAGAAGACCGTTACAAGACCGTTAGAAATGTTTATATAATTTTTTATTATTTTCTTAATATTCTAAGTTTAAAATATTTTGAAATATTCTAATAATTAAAGTTTTGAAATATTATTTACTAACACATAATGAAATAATATTTGCGTGAAATATAAACAGTAAATTAAAAGAAATAAAAAATATACTGAAAATGAAAATGAATGAAAATAAAATAATAGAAACTTGGTAATTGATAAATAATTGAATTAATCCATAAAAATTGTTTCAAAATAACTAAAATAAAAAATGATAAAATGCTAGAAGAACTAGAATCCTCCCCACACTAAAACCAAACAGTGGCCTCACTGTATGTACAAATGCGAGAGAAGAATAAATCAAGATAACAACAGCAACTCTAGCCACGGGGAGTAGGGAACATATGCTGGTCCATGAAATCCAGCTGGTCGGTCACCAAATCCATGAAAGCGATGAAGTCCACTCGGAGAGATGTAGGCTAGCCCCGCATTTCAGTAATTTCTTCATGCAAAGAGTGCAGGGTAACAGTAGGTGGAGGCGGTGGTGGGATCTTTGGAGCCTGGGTGGCGGTCTCAGTAGAAACTAACTGCTGCTCCTATGGATCGGGGAACTGATGGTATCCCGGTGGTGTGGCAGGGTCTTCACCATCGTGAGAGGTGTTGGGTACTTCATAAATGTCAACAATAGAAGGAGACGAAGGCGGTGTAGCAGGATGGTGGAGGTCAAAAAGGCAGTTTGCTCTATTATGCACACTAGTGATAGGGTTCGGGAGCATAAACTGGTGGACGGTCTCATGATTAATTAACAGCTCAAATTGATCTAGCCCAAGATTACCGATAAAGCTAGTGTTGAAGCAGAATTCAATGTTCATCGGCTTTATTCCATAATGTGGGGTTGATCCTAGCATAGGCCTTCGGAGTCCAATTGCATTTGAGATCATAATGACTAAACCACCCAACAGGATTGGTGCATTTGGAGTATGGATAATACGCTCCATGTTGGCTAGCATATAAGCGGCACCGTTTACCGAACGGCTCTGGGAGGCACAATACATAATGAAGAGCTCATCACGGGACACGGATGTAACATTCTGCTGTTTACCAAAAAGGGTATGGGCGATGATCTTATGAAAGTACCTGATAGCTGGGTTGTGGATGCACTCAGAATAAAGGTCAGACGGCTCTGGATGGTTATTGCCAGCAATGCTTCCCCAGAAAAAATCAAGGTCAGAGTCAAGCAATAGGTCCTCCTGGGTCATAGTAATAACATCAGGGCTAAAGGGGAATCCCAACAGGTTGGCAAACTCTCGAAGGTTATAGCGGTAGTCCATGTCAAACAGCCTGAAGGTTATCAACCCACGGTTGAATCATAACCCGTGATTTGGAATGTAGCTCAGGGTGCTCAGGAACTCAAGGGTCAGCTTCCTGTAGGTACAATACCGTCTCCGAATAGGAGCAGTGTCCCAGCCAATCTGGTGTAGCAAATACATGACACTCTCACGAATTCCAAGAGAAGTCATAGCATGGTCATCAACGTAGATTGTAGGGCACATTTCCCGCTCAGCCAGATCCTCAAAGCGTCTTCTCTGGTGTCTGCTTCTCAAGGTGATATTCATGTAGTTTACGTGTGCCATGGAGCTAAATATGAAAGCAAAAGAATTACCCCCCTGAAAATATTTAATAAATGTTTGAAAAACTAAGTTAGTATTTTCAGGTTAAAAATGCCGAAGTTAAATCAAGAAGAAAAAGAAAGTTTAAAGGAAAAATAAAAATAGAAGAAAAATAAAAAGGAGTAAGAGATGCAACATGAAAGTTTTAAAGGTTAAGAAAAAGAAAATAAAAATAAAAACATGTTAAAACAATAAAAATAATTAAAAGAAAACATGGGTTTCCTCCTGTTGTACCCCAAAATTTTCCCTCCCATATTCTTCAAGATTTGCCAAATCAATGCTTCAAAATCTCCCCAAGGGTTGCACAGTTCAAGGGCCTCCTAACAGTCAAAAATTAGGGTTTTGGTTCTGACAAAGAAATTGAAGTTTCCAAGGGTCCAATCAAGTCCCACATGCCTATAAACATTGTCAAGTATCCTCATGTCAAGTTTCAAGACTTACAGCACAAAATTGCACAGTCAAAAACCCTAATTGCTCAACAGTCAACTGTAGGGGTAAAATGGTCATTTGACAGTCAAAAGTTCTAATTTTTGGTCAACATCTTATTTTGAAGCCACAAACATCATTTGATCAATTCTTGATCATGATTTGCAAGGCATGGCTCAAAAAGTCTCAAGATGCAAAAGTTTCCATATTTGGACAGTTGAAAAAGTCAACTGTAACTTGACCAAGGCATAACTTCCACATGGTTTATCAGAAAAATTCCATCCAAATCTCATTTTGAAGAGAAAGACATTTCCTACAACTCCTCTTCACACTTCAAGTCCAATAAATGCTCTCACAAAAAGTTATCAATTTCAACATTATAGGTCATTTTCAAAAGTCAACAAAAAGGGACTTTAAGTCAAAGGCCATAACTTGAGATTGGTAAATCAAAATGACATGGGACTAAAGGCATTGGTTAGAGGACTTCAAGACCTGTCCAAAATGTCCAAGAACATGATCAAAGCTTAAACATTGAGCAAGATATGCCTTGTGGAAGTTGGGAAATTTTTGGGAAATTTGAAAAGTCAACTTTACTTCAAATGCCTCAAAATTGCTAATGGGCCACATTTTCTTCCAAGATTCATCATCCAAAGGCTATGCACGACCATTTGGCCCAAAGGGGATTTATTTCATCATTTTTATTATTTATTTGAATTTTTAATCACCATTAATTCATTTAATAAAATAAAATATGAAAAAAATACTAAACAAATGCATTTGAATCTTTTTATGCAGCCTATGCCCTCATTGGTTACTCAAGATTTCGTGCACTTCAAAAAAGGGAAGATTTGGTGCAAATTGGCATGATATTCATGTGGAAAAGATTTGAAAATATTCATTGAAAATCAAATATTTCTTTCATCAATGCAAAAGGTTTTTGGACTTGATTCTTACCCTAATCCACTCCCATACATAAACAGATGCAAACCCTAAAGCTCACAACCTTGAAGCTGCGCCCAAAACCATAGACAAACTTTGCACTTTTTCAAGAAAATTTCAAAACTGCTTTCCTAGTTTCAGCGTGTTTCAAAGCAAAACAACAACTCCATTGCACTCCTGATACATCCAGGAATCTTCCACAATCGAAATCAGA